ATAGATCATAGACGCATAGTATCTTAGTTCATGATTAGAACTCGAATATTTTKATTTTTKTTTTATGGAAATTAGATTAATTAGATTTCCTTGTTACATTTTCATATTTTCACTAATATTTTTTGCAATATTTGACAAGTTATTTTATATTGATAGGTTTTGGGAAGTTATTTTCTTGTATTTAGTTAGTTAGTCGTGTCTAAAAACACCGGCATACCTTGCGAAACAAATCTGCTCACGCCTATGCATATYTATCGCGATTCCATTGCGTCTCGAATACGAATAAAAGGTATATATCGCGCACAGCTTGCAATAATAATATAGCATTATACCTACCGCCGTGTAACTGCTATATTAATAATTGCATGTGTAGTAATGTAACGGTTCTCACGGTCAACGATCGAACACGATAACAACAATAATAATAATAATAATAATAATATTGTCGTCAGCATTCTCGGCTGCGATAAATGCAGTGACTTCCGGACAAACGGCTTTACGCACTTGTTGAGTACCTACCTATGCATATTCTATTATATAATATTATTTATATACGTCGACATGTTGTATAATAATATTACATTAACATGCGTGTATGCGATTTATCAAATCCATCATAATTTATGCACCCGAAGGGCGAAGAGTATAATCGCTCTCATCATATATTATCATAAAACGAATGTGCAGTTTTCTATACGTACCGGCACTACCRAAGCTGAATTTCGGTGAAATGCTTCTGAATGGGTCGTCTGCCTATTCAAAATCAGGTGCTACAATCGTCTGACCATACATTATAATAATGCATAGATTTATTTACTATAGATATGGAAATATCTCGAATGATCTAAAAATGTTAATACGGCCCCTCGAGTTGGATGTCTTCCACGAATTTCAAAACGTTACCACGCATTTGAAACCTGTTGTTGTTTTGCTTTGTAATCCTATATAGGTTCTAATGCGCCTCCTCCTAACACCACAGCCACAGCCAAACTACATACTTAAAATGGGAATATTTAATGAGAGATGACTATAATATTATGGTGATTTATCATACTTTTAGCCTTTACTAATTGAATTTTAATGAAATATAAATTGAAATGTATAAAATATGAGAGACAGTGGCGTAGCCTGCAGGTTTTCTTGTTAGAGGGGGGGRAGGGCTGATAATGTTTTTTCGCCGGGTTGCTTTAAAYTGGGTTGATAATAAGTTTAGCATACTGATACTGAGGTTTTATTTTAGGTTTCCGTTCCTGTACGGTTGTACAAATTTGTATTTACAGTAACTTTCGTAGATCATGGAAGTTGTTTTTAATTTTCTTAACATTTCGAGGCAAGGATAGRTACAGCTCCCACTGCTCCCAGAATTCTTGGCTTAGCTACTGATAAATTTAATTGCACTCACAAAAATTTATATTTTCTATACTTTTCCATTGTATTTAACTTTGCATAATTCTTTATTATATTAATTATTGTTTTGTTTTTAAACATTTTAAATTTCAATATTTTTCCATTGATATATTTTTTACTTATAGCCACGTTATAGTTAAAACATGGTATAAAACGTCAAAACGAACTATTGATTAAAATTATCAGTATCTCTTGAAACCCGAGGGCATCCTGTCATGACACCTTTATTAGGTGTGTAAAATTATGGACACAATAGGACTGTAATAAAAATATCAGTACTAACATTCGGTGAACCCACTTTCAGGGTTCTTAAAAACGTACTTTTTTGAAAACCAGATTCATTTAGAGTAATG